AAGAAATGAGAAAGTCCTAAAAGCATCAATCCAATTAGATTTCTTTCCCAGCTGTTTTTAATAGCACTCCAGTTTACTCGGACTAAGTATGACATTAACATGGAAAATAAAAGAACTTTGCTGTTTCCTATCAAAAGAAGGACATTATCGCACGAGGACACTGCAGCCATTTTATTCATCACAGGAATTTTTTTCTTTTTCTTCTTTAACAAATTCCAGATTTCGATAAAATGAATAACTAGATTTATGCATTTCATCCCTCCTGTGGCATACATGACAGCTGAGCACTCCATTCTGTCAGTCAAGTGCACGGAATATTGGAGACCAGGGAATTATAAATGAAAGATGTAATGAAAACTAAAGCTTTCGACTGCTGCACTTACCATAAGAACAAGAATACTATCACCAAGCCATTCCTCTTTCAGCCTCTCGGCAGGAGCTTGGGCCTTCTCAATTTCTTTTGCTTCCTCCCTAACTTGACTGATTGTATTATCCAATGATGAGAGTTTCTCAGCTTGGCTTGTTACGCTTTCACCATTCTGGGAGACTTCTGTCTCTATACCCAAGACACAGGATTGACCAACTATTAAGTTCCTTAGAATGGAACTAGCACTACATGGAGTGCCACTGTTAACATTCTTCAGATTCTCAGCAAGCTCTGCTAAAACGTAGTCCCCCTTGGGCACCTCATCATACAAAACAAAAATTAGGAAACTCTTGGGAACCGGGGGTGAGATCCTGAGCATTTCCCTAGCCGCGTGGAGTCTTGTAATCCCTAATATGGTCCGTGCGTGCGTTTCCCATTTTTGTACCGGAGATTCCACTTTGAATTTTCGTAAAAACCGGTGCAATAACATAACCTCCTTTGCAAGAGCAAGCCAGTGATCACGTCTCGTCGAACTTGTCAACTCTGGAAACTCTAGCACAACACCCTCTTGCCTAGAAAATTAACAGGTGTAAGCCGCTAGAAACCACAACTACAATTTGCATAAGGTAATTGAATCTTCGCCGGCTCACATGCCCATTCTGTGTCCTAAATGGGATATGATGTTTATATGCAGGGGCTTTCTAGCATGTGCTCTCAACAGCAACGGCATATAAGCAAAGCTCAATGGTGGCAAGCCAACTCATACTAATACTATGGTTAGCTACTACCAATAAGAGCAGCCGTAGCAATAGCAATTAAAGATAATAATTCTACACAAGAGACAAGTAATCTTACAATTCAGGGGACTCATAAACTATGGCCTTGTCAAAAAGTGGAGCTCCCCATGGGCCTGTGGCAGCTGGTTTCACACTCACATCGTCCCTCAAAAGGTCAAGCTTAATCGCATCTTCATAAGATATGATTCCAAATGTCTCAAAGTAGAGAGCGTAATTGGTTAATGTAAGCCTACCTGGAAATTCTACCTTCATTATGAAGAGAACAGTCCAAGAAACAATCACTCTGAATACATACAGTAATAGAAGCGCAACTATTTAGTAGCAATTAATCATATAGATCTGAATACATATTAACAATTGATCATATAGATCAACTAAAGAATAATTTAGACAAACCCGGCCAGCTAGTTCCTCCAATATGGCGCACTACTCTTTGAGAGGTAGCAGTTCCCTCGACGTGCAGTATGAACTCATCATCTGCCAATTCCACACCCTTTGGTGGTGCTTGATTTTGCAAGTGCGTTATCCATCTAACCAATGAATGCAACAAAAACAAAGTAAGACAATAAAAACACATTTCAAATGTAGGAAAAATATACTCTCATAACGAGGCCTGCCCATAAAATTGACCCGATCAAGTGATGGACTGAGCCTAGATTAGAACATTTGGTCCATGGGTTGGCTAGCCAACCCAACACCAGATGATAAATTGCACATTATAGCTATCACGGACACTCAATTCGTCCCCAAAAAATCCTTAAATTTATTTAATGAAAGTAAATGTTTTTACTGGGCTGATCCGCCTGGGTCTGGGACATGAGACCGGCCGAAAAAACTGCCCCTTTCACTAATAAGAAAATTCCTTCTCCTTCTCCTTATTCACCTTCAAAATTTAGAACCTCTTTGTTGAAAGGATGAATAATACTTTCAATTCTATTCTTTAAGGAGTAAAGAAAGAAACATATTATTAACCTTTAATTTGAAACATCTTTGTTGAAAAGTGTGAATAATAGTATCGACTGTCATTTAAGAAAGAATAAAGAAAGAAACATATAAAGAGAAACCAGACTGCTATTTACCATGGAAACATTATGAAAGGTTGGTCATATTGGTATTTACCCCAATCAACTTAAAACTGTGTTTTGGAGAAGGCCAAATGGGTTAATGCACTTATCAAATCTAAAACCAATTTCTTTCTCTTTCCGAACTGTATCAACATAAAAACAATCTCATTTCATGGTATCCACAATGCGAGAGCTAGAATGCCCTTGCAAGGAAAGTAAAACCAAATGAGTTGAGATGAATTACTTGTCAATCTCTTTAAGAAATTTATCATAAGCAGGAAAATGAAGCCGGTTCCCTGTTGGAGCGGTCAGAGTTTCGAAAGTAAATCTCCCATTCACAACATCTGCTGCGAAAGGAACTAAAGTTGCCAACCAGACAAATGAATCTTCTCCAACACTTGGCTTTTCAGCATCAACCTACCAAACACAACTCAATTGTCAGAGGAAGGAAGCAATTCAAGAGTCACAAAATTCAAAGCTCTAAACCATTGATCAGGTTGTTCACATGCTCCTAGAATGACCTAATCCAAATAATCTCTGGTCTTATATAAAGAATCATACTATAGAAACCTTTCTAGCTACATAAGTATATTTGAAACAGTAGATTTCATGCTAAAGCAGTGCCACTTTAATGTAGAAATAAATGATACGTGGAGGAGAGTTCTTTACGAGGAGTGGCATGAGGTCCGAGTAGAAAAGAGGGATGTCATCTTGTTCGTCCTGAGTTACCTTCCTGTCCTCTTTCTCTTTTGCCACACACTCCTGTAAACCAAAAGAAGAAATCTAAATCAAAGCATATACGAAATTGATGAAAACAGAAACTACTATGATCCTCATATAGGCGAAAAAGAAAGAAGAAACAAAGTTAAACTTCCCCGTCCATTAAGACAAGAAAACTAGATCTATCCTAGAGTCTGACCAATTTTGAAAGGAGAAACCCTCATAGTTGGCTCCTAGAGATTCTCTAAACTGCCTTATGCATCAGTATGTCTCCCCCCACAGCTTTGGACATGCCCTTCAAACTATACAGGTCTTGAACGCGCTCTTCGTGCGTCACATAACAAAGATAGACAATTTGGAGACTATCTTCTGCAAATGCAGAAGACTCATCAGACCATATATAGTAGTCAAAGAAATCAATATTCTCTTCCATTCCACTTTCTTGCCAACTATTTCTGGCATTGGTAAATATGATTGTAAAATCACGGGGGGTGGTTTTTAGTTTACCAGATAGGTACATGGAGAATATCCAAACTCAATGGAAGATAAATTGTATAGTTATCCTCTGATACCAGTTTATCAAGGATAATTTGTTGCCACATCAAAAAATTCCTTCAGTGTGGCCAGTTCTCATTACTTTTGTCACTTCAATCCCTGGATTAGCACACTTGTGCATGATTCATCGGTGCTCTGCATTCTCGTTTCCAACATTTTTGGACCATCTTTCCATTGCAAAGGTCAAACAATCTAATCATGTATTAGACGGTTCATATTTCATATAACAATCTAATCACGTATCGTACATTTGTTAATATTTACCAATGAAACTTGAAATGCATCTAATTTTATGATAGGACTATAATGCACCTTATGACTCTTCATCAACATCAGATATTTTTCTCATCCTGATTTTTAGCTGTTACTTACCAACTATATAATTCAGTCAATTGATAATTACAAAGTGTGATTCCCATACGTCCCATTAATTATCAACTTCTGTTTGTTTAATTCTCTCACAGACCAAAAATATAGAAACCACATAGCCAATGTTCCTTTCTGCATTCTTTCCTTTGATAGATTCCTTTCTACAATTTAGCTCATTCTTTCTAGATATACTGTTTACATAAATATATATGTTTGGATATTTCTTTGACAAGTGCTTCACCAAAAACAAACTCGAATGGATATTATTTCAAAGTCATTTGTAAAGTTGTACTTTTAGGATTTTCCTCAACATCTGTAAATTATCCTAAAATACATCCTTTCATGCTAATTCATCTCTTTCGTACAAATATCAGAGAAACAAAGCAACACGCACCGTATATGACTCTTCATCAGCTGAGCTAGGCATCTCCCAAGCGAGCATCATGTTGAATGTGAACTGACTATACGACCCGTCATTGATCTTTTCTTTTATGCCACTACAAATATTAGCAAGAGCCTTTGAGCAGCAGAACTCCACTAATTTCCTTGCATATGATCCATTTATTTCGGGTGACCACTGGGCCTCGAATTCTTGAACCAATGCATCCTCAGAAGTGTCTAGCTGCCTGGAACAAAGAATACATCCACTCATTCATAGTGCATAAGCCCAAAATCTATTTCCAAATTCAAAAATCAAAAAAGCATGTATATGAATACATTGAAGTGGTTGACATATCCATATAATGTGTTTTTTCGTTCAACGGTTAGAGATGTTCAAGCCAACTTACGTGAAACTAATCCTTTCTCAAATCCGGTCAAAGATAGGCCATCCACACTGAATCTAGGGTATTCATGAGGGATAAATCTCTCATGGTGCTAACCGAACTCGGGACGTCCGAGTTTGTTATCATTTGAGCTATCCCTCGGGATTCATGTCCTTATTATATCACCAACTCAATAGCCTAGCCAAAATCGAATTTGACTAGTGTCGTCCCAAGGGACTAGACTTTACCTTGATTGTTTATTTGTAATTTTAGTGAACAAACAAGATAAAGCTCATGTGAGCTTGAAATCCAACAAAGATTATATTGGTCTAGATCCAGAATTGTTCAGTCCACTCATTGTTATCAGTTTATCACTATAGAAGTGTATTGAAGGCAGCTAACCTGCTGGATTTAACTCCTAGTCTGTTTGATGATTCTGAGTACATAAATATAGCTTACATGTGGCCATGCATGTTCTGTTTACATATAAGCAAGTCTATACATATCTTTTATTGAACACAAACATATAGAGGAATGGATTGCTCCATTGTGATCTGGACGTCATGAGTTCGATCGGTGAAAACAATCTTACAGTTTGCACCAGTGCTTTACATCTAACCCTCTTGACCACGCACTGGTGGGAGTCTGGGCATGCCCTTTTATACAGAGGAATGGGTTCATGAATTTAAGTGATGGGAACAATCTTTAAATTATTGATTGAATATGGACACAAAATTATACAATTGGGAATATTCATTACATATTATTCTAATTAGAGGGATATATATATATATATACTAACAGACATATTCACACATACATACATGCATATGCAGACAGACATATGTCTGCGATTCACTTCCTTCGTATTCTCAGAAACCTAGACTATTGCATGGCCATCTTATTTGTTGTGTGTGTGTGTGTGAGAGAGAGAGAGAGATTACTGTGCACATCTCCGGAGGACGTCGTTGGCAATGGGGGAGAGATGCTTTTTCTCCATTGTAGTGGTGGGTTTCTTTGGATTTGTTGCTATTTTTTCTCCGTATGTATGAATCGGTTGTATATATAGACTATAGTGGCATTAATGCTTGTTCATGTGACGTGAAGAGGCACAGCGAGAGGCCGATGGAGCTGATCCACTTTCTCATGGGGAGAGAACGTAAGAAAGAGAACGTGTGTTGCTCCCCCAAGACTTCCACGTGGAAGCCATGCAACGCCGTCGCCAACGAGTCCGTATCTGTTCTCACTCTCCTGAGAAAATATTCATCGCAAAGGTCGCATTATCTTATTACCGTCGCATAGTATTATTATCTAATTAAAAGATAATAAATAAATAAAGTGGATCCTGCTAATCTTATATATTAGTGATTAGATGTAGTGGTTATTGATAGTTATAAATATAGTGGAGTTTACTTTATCTATTTATAGTCTTCTAATTGTTTAAATTATCTTTAATGTTTTAAGATATTTTAATATATTCTGATTAATATTTTACAAATAGTAATAAATTCACAATTTTTTTATGCGTTTCTATTATATTCTTGAAATGTTTCTATTCCTAAATGATCGAAATAATGTACCGAAACAAAAATTTTAATTCTTGAATATAAAGTGGAGCATACTCTATCGAAATAAACGTTTTATATTTTGATTTGATAATTATTAATTATAAAATATAATAGTAAAATATACCATAATAAAAATTCAAAATTTCACGTGTCATATTTTTCTATTGAATAAAAAATAAAAATATAATACTAAATTTTTTTTTTTTAGTATCATAATTGAGCCAATATAAGGTAAATTAGACTCTTTTGGAGGTCATGCGTTCTTTGATGGTAGTGGGTAAATTTCGACCGAGGAATGTTAGACGGACCAGAAATAAGTATGAAGAATAGAGATTATATGATGTAGCATTTATCATAATGAAAAAAAATTAAATTTAAATTTGTAAAAATAGGACCAATAACACCGTTATATGTAAGGTCATATTTTGTTCTCTTTTTAAAATAATTTTTTTGGTGAGTATAGCATTGATCTTGTGCTTTTTAACTTTCCATTAGTTTACAATAGGCCCGTCTCTAGCAGTGGCGGATTTACGACGGGGGCAATGGGGGTAACTGCCCCCGACAATTTAAAAAACTTTTGGGTTTCGCGTAAAATTTTAACAAATATTTAGAATTTCACCCCCCCAAAAAAAAAAAACAATCGAGAAGTTTATTGAAAAATAATAGAGGCCAATAGGTCAAACCAGATACGAATATACAAAAATTGGACTCAACTGTGATCCGATATTACTGCAAACACATATATATATAGATATACTAATTAAAATTAAGTGATTATTTAACAATATTATGTTGAAGTTGAAAATGTAATTTATTAAAATTCAGATCTAATTTAATTATTTGAATGATATCAACTTTTATTTTTTGTTAAAAGATTCGGATATGAATTATAAAGATTAAGTTTATTAGACAATTTAAATTGAATTCAATTCTAATTTTTAAATTGGATTTAGATCAATCCTATTCAAATCTTTTCGTGGATAAGCCTATTAATTATAAATTTGTAAAATGGTGGTTTAGCACCGCTCTTGATTGCTAGGCACGAGTCACATCTCTCTCTCTCACACACGATATCATTGTACCTCTCGTTGTGATATCCACACATGCACGCAGAGAAATAGAGAAAGAGAGTTTTAATGCACGTATAAACGCAAATGATATTAGTGTAAGTTATCTCCAACTGAACAATTGGGTCCAAAACAATTGAGGAAACATCACAACGAGAGGTACAAATCAAGACATAAAGGCCACGGTATCTTGGGCCTAGTGGTGGCACATGGGCAGTCCTCTTCAAGTAAAGCCTCGGCCTGAATCTTATTAATATTCAAAGTTATTTATAATTGAATTTTTAATGTGTCGAGTTTATGTTTTTTATAAATCATGTCTAATAAGTGGGTATTAACTTATTTATATATTAAATTTATAAATTTATCTATTTACTTGTCAAACACTAAATTTAAGTTTATTTATGATATATATAAATTTATTAATGGGACTCATCTAAGTGATCGAACACTGATACTTCTAGTACATGGACAGACACGTGGAATGGTGGTGTATCCATGGTCACAGTATGGTCTCTCAAAGCAGGATTGGATTTTTTTTGATGTCGGCAAGTAACCTTGAACCGTCCACGTGTACGTCAGTGAGGCGTGTAATACACTAAAAACTACGACTTTTACGGAGATAGAATTAAAGCCACAGCACTTGGCCCCATCAAAGAAAGAAAGAAATAAAAGATAGCTTTCGTAAATGGCACTCTCTACTCCAATCAATTGTGACGGTTGAGGTCTATACAAACCTACTTTATTACATGTGTCAGTATCACATGGGTGTTGATCAGACGTCGGTCACATTGATCTACTTTGGGTAAGAATCAAGTTGCAACTAGCAAACACCCGTACTTGAAACACTAGATATCATAAATAAATTAATCATTAATCATTAATCATGTTTTATAAGTATATAAAATAATAAATTATTTTGTATAATTACATAAATCAAAATTATTCTTGTCTTATCATTTAAAAGACTAATAATGCACGTTATGTGTTACATGTAAATAAATTTAAATAATATTTTCTTATAAAAAAATAAATTAAATAATAAATTAGATGTCAAAAAATTAATCTGTATTTTAATTATTGTTAAATTTAATTATTAATCTATTCTATAAATCTTTGAATATCTAATTTGTTATTTATTTAGGTAACTCTCAGATCCCTTTAGACATTTGCACATATAATTATATTTCTCGTGCCTGAAGGCACAGAGTAATAAATATATTTGTATTCACACTTAAAATTCAATTACAAACAAAGAGGAGAGAAATTTTTTTTAAGCACTGATGATAATGGTTGTGGACGACAGTGGTGGTGTTAGGAAACAATGATGATTGTGGTGGGTGGCGACGACCGTGGTGGCGGTGGCAGTTATGGGTCGCAACGATGGTGGTGGTGATGGATTTTTGGTGACGATGGTGATAGTGACAACCATAAGTGACGATAGTTGTTGTGATGGGTGTGGGTGGTGGTGGGCGACGATTATGGTGGTAGACAACGGTAATGGTGGTTAGTAGTGGTGGTGGTGAGGTGACGATTGTGGTGGTGGGTAGTGACGAAAATGGTGATGGGTGATGACTAGTGTTTTTGAGTGATTGTGTGATGGGTGGTGGTGATAAGTGTGATGGGTGGTGGTGATAAGTGTGATAGGGGGTGGGTGATAGTGGGGTGGCGACAGTGGTGAACAATGACGAGTGGTGGTGGTAGATGTGGTGGGTGTGGGTGATAGTAGCTGGTTGACGACCACTAGTGATGATGGGTGTTAAAGATGGGCGACGATGGTAGTGGGATGAAGGTGGTGGTTATAATAAATATAAGAATGAGATGATGATGGTGGGGAGTGGTGGTAGCGGATAATGGTGGTAATAATTGATGTTAAGTGGTGATACTGTTGGTGGTGGTGGGGTGGTGTGGTAGGGGTAATGGTGACGACGACGATGGTGATGGTGGTAGTGATGATGGTTGTAGTGGTGGTGGTGGTGGTGTTAAAGGTGGTGATGGTAGGGGTGATGATAAGACAATGAAGGTAGTGGTGGGGTGGTAGGGCTGGTGTTGATGGTGGGGTGGTGACAGTGGTAGTAGTGGCAACAATGGTGTTGGTGGTGGTTGTTGTGGCAGAGACAGTGATGGGGTGACGGCGGTGGTGGTGGTAGTAGTGGTGGTAGGGTGGCGACAACAATGGTCGTGACGGTGGGGCGGTGGGTGTGGACTTACGATAATGGTGGTTGTGGCAAAGATGGCGACGGTGGTGGTGGTGGTGATGGTGGTGGGGCAGTGGAAGGGGTGGTGGTGGGGGGTAGTGATGGTGGCGGTGGTGGGGTGGTAAGGCGGTTCCTAATATAACTTTTTATTAAGTACTTATAAGAAATTATAAATTCTACAAATACTTTTAAAAAGTCACTATAAACACATCAATAAAGACTTATTTCTCCTGTTGAATTTGAGGTGTTAATATTAGCCATCAGATTAACTTTAATGAAAAATTTAAAGAGATCTCAACCTCGAAAAACAAAAGTCATTTTGTTTATTTTTTTAGATTTGAATTATATTGTACTTTATTATATAGATTATAGAATTATTAATTTTTATTTTGTTAAATAGGTTGATTAGATCGTTTAAAATTTAGATCATTTAAATATTATTAAATTATTACATACTAAAAAATAAAATATAACATATATTTGACCGTAAAATTTAATCTAATAATTACGTGTAGGGATATCAGTGGACCAAAGCGGGGGCGGGGGGTGTAGTCTCCATCATGGCACTTGCTTAAAAAAATTTCGTCAATTCTCGGTTCACCCCCGTTAATGAGTATAATTTTCATCTTCATCCCCGTCCGCAGGTAAATTTGTAAAAAAAGGAAAGTTCAGCAAGATAAAATCAACAGAAAATACTTCTTACTTCCCCCTTTTCATTCTGCGAACCAGAACCATGAATCCTTCTCAAGCCCTCACTATTTCACTCTGTCAAAAAATGCCCAAAAACAAAAGAAAGCCTCTGGCCCTCGGTTGACGAAGAAAGAATGAAAGAAGAATCTTGCCAAATTGAGGGGTCAAATACCTCCTATCATGGAAATCCCAGAACAAGAAATCCTTTCGAGAATCGATCGGCTTGCAGGAGAGGCATTTGACTTTCTTACTTACTTTCTTACTGACTGAATCACTTTTTTCAGTTGAAGGAGGTTTCTACAGGAAAAGTTGCGACTCAGCGTCGAGGCGGGCGGGGGTTCATGACGAGTGGGCATGAACTGTAACCAAACAAACAAAAGTTGTTAAATTGATATCTATCTATATTGTAAACTATCGGATCGGGTATTACTTAGATGTGAAACTTGCAGACCTCATTGGTTGTGATATTGATCTTACGGG